CTCGCCCAGCGCCCCCTGGCTGCCGGTCTTGCGCAGCCCCAGCCGCCACGAGGAGGGGGACTCGTCCTTCTGCTCCTCCGGCCTGCCCAGCCAGCTGTACTGTGGAGGAGAAAAGGGACATTTGGGAGAAGTGAGAGCACTGCAAAGCACAAGCTGAAGTTCTGAAAGCGTTTCAACAAGCCCCAGCGGTCGCCGGGCTGCAGCTGTGAACGTGGGATGGAGTGACTCTGATCTGAGCCTTACCAGCTCAAGGTGACCTCACTGGGATACAAACTGCTCTGGTGCCCTCGTCCCCAAGGGGAGAGGATGACAGAAATCTCATGTCACCGTGCATCTCCCTTTGCCTACACAATGCTCTCCTCCAGCTTTGCAGAAAGAATATCGGGAAAAATGAAGTTTTTGTTAGCACCCATTTAGGAAGGGGGAACTACTCAGTAAAGACAGAAAACCAAAAAAGTAACCAGCTCTTTTGTGACTGGCTGAAAATCAAACCCCTACACAAATCAAGCTGCAGAGAGTCCAGCAAAAGCCTTTAAGATCATCAGGAAGCTGGAGCCTACCACACACAAGGGGAGAGACTGAGGAAATCTGGCTTGTTTAGCATGGAAAAGAGAAGGCAAGGGAAGGATTTAACAGGTGGATTTAACACCTACTTTGAGGGTGAGTTTACAGAAGATATAGAACCAGACTTCTCAACAATCTACAGTGAAAGGAGAAGGAGGAACAGACAACTGACATGAAGGAGGACACACCTCCTAGTAGCAGTGATGCTGCATTGGGACAGTGGGAGGTCTCCATCCTCAGAGAATTTTTGATACTCAGCTGAGCTCAGGTAGTTCAAACAACATGACATAGGCTTGAAACTGGCCCTGCTTTGACAAGAGGCTGGACTACAGGCTTGCAGAGGCCTGTTCTAGCCTAAACTGTTCTGTGGTCAAGTAACTGCCTAATCTGTACATACTCCAGAATGGACCTTCAGCTTTTTGTTACACAAGCCACTTCTGACAAGTGTTTATACTCACCAAATATACAACTGCTTAAGTGTACAGCTTCAATTACTGTTATCAAGTCTTACAAAACGATGCCCACTTCCATTCCAGAATGGAGCCTGGGCACCACAAGAGATACTTGTTCAAAGAAAGGGACTCAACACCAAGTTGTATGGGAAATAAAGCAAACAAACCATTAGGAACGACTGGAAACCAGCAGAATATGAAACACTGCATCATTATGTCTCTGTGTCACTGCAGGGCACAATCACATCTGTGGTATCACTCACAGCTCAGCTCCACAGCTCAAAAGCAGTATAGAAGAAGGGGAAGAGATTCAGAGAAAGGCAACAAGAATGAGTAGAGCAAGACAGCTTTTGTATGAGGAGTTATTCTGTATACTGGGAGTCTCCAGGCTCCGATATGACCAAGGTACAGAAAACTCTCAGGGTTGAATAAGGATCTATTATTCCTTATTCCTCCCCACAAAAAAAAAACTAAGGGCAGCAAAGAAAACCAGCGTGTGGCAGGCTTAGTGAAACAGGAGCAGGAAGCTCTGTGTAATATGTAATTAAGGTGACAAACCCTCTGCCACAGGGCGTTATAAGATCCCATACATTATGGGCACTCAAAAAGTGACTGCATAAATTCTGAGAGGAAAAGTCCAGAAGGGTCTACTGAATACAAAAAAAAAAAAACCCTCACAGGTTCAGCAAGTCCCTGAAATACAAAATTGCTCCAAGGTGGGAGGGAAGTCCAGCTAAATTCTGCTTTCTCTAGTGTCTTTTGATGGTCACTGTCAAGGGCAGGATACTGGGTTAGACAAGGCTACCCCGTAGCCTTGCTTAGAAGATATAAGCATTATTATACTATATTCCACATAAGAAAAACATCTGACATTATACAGAATAAATGCAGCCAAGGAGCTCTGCCCTCAACACGCCTTGACTCAAGACTGCACAGATAAAATCCCCACTAGAGCACTTCAGCAATGCTTCTGAGCTCGGGTTAGTGTCGATGCATGGAGTTAATCTGTTCTCCTCCAATTCCACCACTTCCCATCTACCCAACTGCACAGCTCCAAGGCTTTAATGTAGTTCTGTCACTTCCTCAGAGAAAGCTCAAACTCACAGTAAAAGCTGCCTTCTGTAATTTCTGAACACAGGAACGGCGCAGATGGATGCCCCACAAATGGAGGGCAGCACAAGCACTCTCATCTTCCTCTACAAAGCCCCAAAAAAAGTTACAGAAGAATCAAACATGTAAGGGAAGGTAAAGCAGCTGATCCTAAGTGACTGAGGTCCAATGAATAACTGCTTTGCACACAGGCCCACTTCCATACCCTAACAGCATTTTTCTGTGTGAAACAGTTCCAATGAGTGAGAACACTCACTTCCCAGGATCCTTCTGCTTAATACCTGCCCTGCTAAGTCAGCCCAAGGTGAACAGTGCCCAGGGGAGCCCTATTTCCTTCGACCTGGATGAGAAGTTAGACTCCGTGGCAAGTGAAAAATAAAAAATTGTGACCAAGCAAGAAGCATTTTCCCTCTAACATGTACCTAGTGCTTCCCACTTGGGCGAGGGGCCTGGGCTGGATAACTGTTCTCCATACTCTGGTGCAGTGTCAGCTACCAGTCCTCAGCAGAGCCCAGAGCCTCCTGGTGCCATCTAGCTGACTGACGTGAGAGCTGGGGAATTCAGATAAGATTTCAGTAACTCTGCTTCACCTTTAAAGAGCTTTCATAGCCTAGCTATCTAGTCAGATGCAAACTTTATCCCCTCTGCTTACTGGGCTGTAACATCATGCCACTGAGTCTGGCAAGCTGGAGGCACTTCAGATGATGATGCCAGATTTGCTGCTGGTACATCAGCCGGAACCAGCTTTGGTGAAAGATCTCCTGCTGGTAAGAGACTGGCACCAGCCACCTCTGAACTGACAGTGACACAAAGCTCTTGTGCTAAGCAGGGTTTCTCTTGTGAGCAACACAATCTGCTCTGGAGGGGAAGAGATCCAGGAGGAACCTTCACACACAAACACCCTCCTTCCTGCCAGCCCTGTGCTGTTAACCCAGCATTGTTATCAAAGCTGCATGCTACCATGCTCTCCTAAATTCAAGTCCTACAACTCCTCTGAAAAGTGTTTTCAGAGCATCCATTTTCCAGTACAACCTACTGCTTTTGAGCACTGCTGGAGTCCCCGTTCATTCCAAATTCACTTACTCTTCTGGCAGATGCAGTGAAGGAGTTGGGCTCGGGTGGTGGTATTTGTTCAGTGATGCTAGGCCTGGTTTCATGGCTGGAGTGGTTGGCAAAGGGCTCTTCCTTCCTTTCTACAATTTTAAACAAGAAGAGAAACCAAATGTTTCAGTATTGCACTTCCCAGGCCCTTCTTTACAAGCACAGTGTGCACTAAGCTCATGTTCAGCGTTGCTGAGGCCTCAGTGTGCCTTGGATCATAACGCCGCCGCCACTGCCAAGGCTGCCCAGGACTTTCTGCAAGGAGGCTTCCCACTTACTCAAAGGTATGATGGATACATTTGCCAGGCAAAGCTTTTGACCTTCATCCCCACAGACAAGCGAATTCTTTGCAGAAAGCACCTTAAGGAGGACAAAAAGATTTTTAATTTGTTCACAATTTCATTTCCTCTCAGGGAGTGTTCTTCCCTTGTAAAATCTGGGAAGGAAAGCAGAATGTGCCACTCCCACTGCACTGTGTGAGGATGGATCACAGCACACAGCCCCGAGGGGGCCTGCTGGTGGATTTCACTGCATGGCTCTGCTGCAGTTGGTTATGCTGGTGGGCACAGCGTCTGGTCTTCCACAGCAAAATCCATTTTTCTACAGAAACCTAGAACCAATTCCCAACAGAAGTCTTTAACAGGGCTCAAAGCAAGCTAAGCAAGCCCTACCAAGATCACAGCTGCCTCTCTGTTTGTTAGACAAGTGTAATAACCTAGGTTTGGTTTTTTTTTGGTACCTATGCACCATACTTGATATACCAACATCCACTAGCAGGGACAGAGTAAGCAGAAACCATATCTCAGGCAATAGATTCAACTGCCAGGAGTGGACAGGGCTCCAAGACAAACTATTTACCAGACAGCCACATGGTGTGCCTGAGAAACGATGCAGCTACACCAACAGAACAATGCTTTCCTCTCACAGCTATAAGTGCCTCATATGCTTATGGCTTTGGAAAAACAAGGTCATTCTAAGTGAAAGCTCTCAAACAGTACTAGCAAATGAGGTATGTGCAATGAATAAAGATCTCCTGTCACATGTACAGTTTGGTGTGGAGCATCCGTGAGGACGGCACCTCGGAGCACGAAGACCGATCTGTGTGAAACAAACGTTCTCCCTCCTGGAAAACAGGACTCAAAGGACATGGAAAAGAGAAAAGAGCAAGCCAGGAGAAACATTTAAAAATAACAGGCAGTTAGCAGGACTGACAGAGCCAGAATTAAAGAGACATAGATGCATCTCCCCTAGGAAGGTTTGCTTGATATTGAAGTCTGAGCCACCTTTCCCTCTTTTGTGTTATCTCAGAACTTCCACCAAAGTCATCAAAAGAGTATTTCATGTCTTGAGCCTAACACCCAGACACATTCTCCTTTCAAGCAAGCCTTCAGGAAGGGGCAGTATGACCCATTTCTCCTTGCAGGCCTGATCTGGCACACAGACAAAAAGTCACAGGCTTGCCATTTCTCATTTCTTGAGACTAAAGCCTGTAAAAGCCAGGAGAATCCTTGACACTGCAGGAAGAGGAGAACAGACATGACCTGACAGCCAGCAGCTTTACTGGCTGGGCTAGATGATGACTGGTAGCCTGGTCTGGAAGTTTATAGTACAGAGGTCAGCTTTTAAGGTCAAGCCTAATTACAGGGGCACAGGCTTAAGTGGTAATGACAGGTTGGAAAGAAGACTAACTGTGAGCAATGTGACCAAGAGGAGTCAACTGCAGGAGAAGGACATGCCAAAGTACCTTGTTCCAGCAGCATGGCAGACAGCATGACCACAGGCATCGTTGTCTTTAGGAGAGGAACCCACATTTTACTAAATTTTCAGCAATAAACATTACAAATTCCAATCAAGAAAAAATAGTGAGATTAGTTCAATCTCCCCAAAACATATCTGGTGAGACTGAAAATTTAGTTCTCTAATTTGGCATAAATATAATTTTTCTTAAGGTTTTAATGTATTTATTTTAAACTAAAACATTGAAAGCTTCCCTGGTCTACTTTAATTCACAACAATTACATATTTTAATAGTTACCAGCACAGATAACAACCACAGAATTTCATCTTGACCTTCCTCTCGTTGATATACAACCCAAAGCCAAATTGTTAACCCTCCTCAAGCTTGGTAAAATTGCTTTAACACGCTTAGCTTCCTTTGTTTGAGGAACACAGACTTCTTACAGATTTTAAGAAACATGGTACTCTGAAGCACTCCAGCAATTTCACTGCTCACCTCTTCAAATTTCTTCTCCTCCCACAGTCTCTGCAAATTCAACAAATTTATTGCAACCTGAGACCCTTCAAAACACACCTCAAAATAAACTTCTGTATTTTACTGCCAGCTTCTACTTTGTTCTGCCTCATTCTCAGTTACCAAAGGTGTTATTTTTGTTTGTTTGTTTGTTTGAGAAGATAATGCATAATGATATTTTGGCTCTTTTCCCCCTTTGTCTGGGCTGTGAACACTTCAGAACAAGTCACCTTCTGTCTGTCCAGTGCTGCTTGGAATTACAAAGCTATGTGAATATTAAATCTCACAAGAAAATGAAGAGGGATAAGGAAATAATTTCCATGTTTTCAAAAAAACCCTGTATCCCTCCAAGCATTTAAGATAAAGCATAAAGATAATTAAGCATAATTGTTCTTAAGACTGTCTTTGAAGCTAGTAATACTGTGACATTTGTAATTTTCTATGGAAAGCTCTTTTCATCCCTGCTTATCTTTGGAGCCCTCCTGTAACACATGGGCTGCTGTTGTTTCCTCATGAATTTTGTTTTAAAAAGAGTACCAGAAGTGTGTGTCCCATTCCAGCTCGACAAATTAATGTTCATTTTATTAGTGATTTAAGAAGCTTACAAAGCAAGGCTTCAATTCTGGGTGAAATTTCTCAAAGGAGCCAATAATCTCTCCAGGAAAGAAGAGAACAGGTAACAAAGCCTGAAGGCTGATGCTTAATTATTTCTTGAATGCTTTTTGTCTTCAATTTGTTTTAGCTGTAGTGGCTTGAATTAGATTACTATAATGTGCTTTGCTCAGTGAATTAACTCAATAAAAAGACCTGCTCTGGCTTTACACAAAATTTAATGCTGAGTGCTGTGGCACTTTCCTTGCTGAAGAATCTTACACAGTTCCTGTACCAGTTAAACAGCACAGAAGCTCCACTTCTTGTAGCTACACACACGTCAGAGGAGTTTGGGTCAAGTTCTCCCCATGTTTACAAGAGCTGGCACACAGCTGTACAGGGCTGCTCTAGTAAAATCTCGGCTTATGGACAAACCAAGGTGACTCCTGCTGCATGCCCACTTCTGCCACTGACTTCTCCACCACATTGGTGTGATTTCAAAGCCAGAATATTACTTCACCATGTTTCTGTCATACCCAGAGAGCTTTTGTAACTCCCAGCTCTGCAAAGACCAGCCAGGATTCTCAGCACCTCTCGTACTGCAGTAAGTGGCGTAACGGATAGAACTAGAACAGAGGTGATGATTTTACTGGCACAAGAAGCAGGACAATACTTTAAACTATACTTCTCTGCAAGGACTTATTTATTGGTATATTGGGATACAGGCCAATTAAACTGATGTTAAAAGTAGCTTAACCATTAGTACATCATAGTCCAAGATCCATCTCTGTTTGCAGAAATATTAAGTACAAAGAAGTCTTGCTTTACTGTAAAATGAAATATTTTTATTTAAACATCCTGTGCTGCATATATACACTGTTCAAACTAATTAAAGAAGCCATAGAAATTATGGAAAAAGAATGGGAGTAGGATGCCAGCAATATGCCATAATGTAAAGGTTAATGTGACTCAATGTACTTAATCCTTATCTTCCACTCTGCTTTGCAATTACTATACAGCAGTCAGAAAAAAAGTTCCTCAGCTCTATAATTACAGAGAAGAGCTTCAGCCCTTCATTCCTCTGCTCCAAACACAACAGGCTATTACCTTCCTACATGTTCAATTGCTTTTCTACCACCATCTTGCAGTAGCTGAAGTATTCATCCTGAAAGTTGCCAATGGGAAAAAACTACTGCTTAAGAACAACCTACGAACAACGTGTTGTCTTAAATTCAAGTGAGAGGGAAGTAGAAATTAAAATGCTATCTGCAGCTTTTTGGGGGGGGGGGGAATTATGCTGCATTTAGAGCATTTAGATCAGCTTTTTTTAGTACACTAGCTACAGAGTTCTCTATATTCAATACATATACACTGGATGTAAAACTTTCAGGATGTTTTTAACAACTAAGCGCAAAAAAAAAGAGCAGTTCTCAAACTGATCCCCCAGTATTGCTTGACTCATTATTAAACCCAAGACCAACTCTTACCTGACTCCTTTTCAGCATCTGATTCTGAAACTTCATCTTCAGCTTCTTCCTCTTCAGAACTAGAACTGCTAGAGTCCTTGTTCTCTTCCTCCATTTCCATGGACTTCAGTGTGTCTTCCTCGTACAGAATCTTCTCTTTGCTACAAGGTACAGAAATTTTAAGGACTACCAGCCGAGCGAGCTGTTCCAAGTCCTGCTTCTCATGAACACATAGACATGATTTGCTACACACAGAGCAAACAAAAGGACAAAATCCACCTACAGACTCACCATCCTGGCACTTGCAGCATTGTCCATTTGCCAGGGACTCCAGTGCCAGTCTCCTAAATTTGCAAGTATTTCTCAATCCAAAAAAGTTGCACTCTTCCTAGGGCAACACAAGCCATCAACTGGGCTGCATGGCTCTGGGCAACTGGGAGAGTGCAGTTCTCAGCCCAAAGGTCAAACTGATGCTTAGCAAAAGCAGAAGCTGTAGGACCAAGCACCAGCCCAATCCCTTGCCTCACTATTCAGTGGGTGTGTTAAGAAAGAGCTAAAACTGCATTTCAGAGTGTTCAGATTTAAACAAACCCATGAAATGAACACGAACAGCAGTGAACTTTTTTTAAAAAACCAGCTGAGGCCACCTGACTGCTAAGAGATGAAGCTGGTCTCCCATTACCCCCCGTGCAGCTTCTTTTCAGCAGAGGAAAGAGTCATACCTGGGGAAGAGTCTGCTCTGAGGCTTGCCATTCATGTCAGCTTCAATTAACTTATTCCTCGTCTCCTTCTCACTTCGCAACTGTCAGAACATCCAAGAAGATCAGAGAGAGAATGAAAAGAGACATCATAAGAAGCCACCTCAACACAATCCAATAATCACCACAGCATAAGGTCATCCCAACTTTGTCAGATGAAGAATACTGTGGATTTGTTTTACAAGTCAATTAGACAGATTCTCATCTGCAAGAGCACTGGATGTCTTGACCAGAGCTCCATAAAGCCACAGCTACACACCCAGCATGTCCTTAGACTCAAGATGCAATTTAATAAAACCTCCAGAGAAGATGGCAGCAGTCCCTGCTGAGACCCACAGTCAAATCCTGACTTCCCCTGCATCTGCTCAGGCAGACACAGTCCTGGAGGTCTGTCCACATGTGTTTGTATGCCCAGGAGATGAGGCTAGATTCAGTTAAAACGTTGCTGCTTTGATAGCTATTATTTACTTGCTCTGAGAAAAGTGTCCAAGTATGCCCTGGAAAGGCAACTGATGGATCTCCTGCAAGGATGGGTCGCTTCTTAAATCTCTCAAATGCCTGCACTAAGTCACTGCACACCCTGTGATCACTGCAGCAACTGGAATGTTTTGCCCAGAGAGCAGCAATACTCACTTGGGCACCACTGAGGAATAAAACACTAACTGAAAAATTGTTTCAGTACCTTCTAGAGCACAGCTGAGGTAGGAAGAGGGATGGCAATAAGAGGCTCACTTTTAAGACTGTCCCTTTTGTGTCATGCTAGTTATTCTTTCTCTTTTCATAGGAGCTGACAGCAGGCACAAGAAGCAAAAGCTCTGAAAATTCTGAATGTGGGAAAAGCTACATGGAGTCGGGCAAGGAGCCAAAATTTGGGGTACAGCATGTTGTTAAATAGAACAAACGCCTGGAGCATAACAAAGGCAAGTGCAGGAAACAGCCTGCTCCATTCACAGGTAATTCAGAGACTGGGAAAAAAAGTCCAAACCCAAATCAAATTAATTGCTTCCAGCAAATAAAATTCCCTCTTCTCTCAGTAACAGCAGCAAATCTTTTAGCAAGGATGGCACATTGGTCTGCTAAGAGCTTTAGATTAAAAAAATGTAATCTGGTTTAAGAACCATTCTGAAAGTGAAATAATATACTTAGAGGAGTGTTGTGGAACTGCCTGTTTCATCTGTAACAAATGTAACTTTTCTATGTGCTAAAAATGGCACATGATAAACACATATGATAAAGCAGCATTTCTATGAAAAAAATCATATCCACTAAAATAGAGTGTGATAAAACTTGGATTCCTCTCCTATTCCCAGTTCTTCCTACATTCATGTAATAAATGGAGAAGGGATTTATATAGTGCTACTATATAGAGAACAAGGGGGGTTGGTTGCCCTTGTGAAGCAGGCCCAAAAATGGGCTAGCACCCATCCAAAACATTCCTCTTGCTGCTTTGCCTTTTTTAGCTCCATTTCTTCCAAGGAGTGTAGTTATCTACAGAATCTTGGTGTAGTGAGATAGGAGGAAATCAAAAATACAACACTGATAGTATTTATCAATACCTCATTTAGGTAGAAGCTGATTAATTTTTTAAAAGATTCTGTGAATGTTAAGGATGCTAGTTAAGGATGACAGCAGCTGTGTTATGATCAGAGCTTGAGTTCTACCACTCACATTGCCAGTTCCTCAAAATACTTTCTTGGGTTTTAATCAGCAGCGTTCTCATTATGTCTGTTTCCAAATCCAAGGGTTTAAATGACACTTCCTGATTTTTATTTTTTTTTAGAGAAAGTTGGTCTGATTTTTGGAAGCGCCCAAATGAGATAATTGAGTAGAGCAGATGAAACAGGATAAAAATGTAATCCAAAACCAACTCTGGCTTGACAACTGGCTTTACTTTGATGAAGATATATTTGTGCTTTCTTCTTCATGCCAACTTTCTGTTTATATCCTCTTCCAGTATCTCCATTTCATAATGAAATGGCAATTCAATATGGTTTTGGAATCACCAATTTTTTTTAGTCCAGATTTCCATGAAGTTTGTAATTTCTTTTCACTCAATAAAAAATCTCCCTGTTGTAAGAAAGGCAGTCGTGGCAACAGATCTTTTCCTCACTACTGACAGCCTGTTTCCTTAGATGCAAACATGGTCAAATGGACTTGGGTAATCACTCATTAAGAAAAGTGCAGCTTGATGCTAGAGAGCTTGCCAGCTAACAAAAGCCACTGCAGAGTAACAACAATCCCAAAGTTGGAAATAGAACCTTGTTACCATAATTCTGCATGTCAGCACACTACTGACCTCCCTGAGGTAGTCATCCAGCTTTCTAGATTTCAGGCTATTAAAAATATTGATGTAATTAAAGATTCCGAATGACTAACATAAAAAAAACCAGCTGGGCCTTGGCTTCCTGTGTCTGTTGATGCCATGTGTCTCAGAAAACACCCATGGGTGAGCAGGTAACTGGAGAGGTGGAAAATGATCTGCCAGAAACTCACCACAGTCTGTTTCTTCTGCAGCATTTCTAAATGCTCAACTAGTCCCTCATCAGCCACGTCGAACGGCGTCTGGCCCTGATGCAACAAGAGAAGACAAGAGGATATCCCATAGGGCACGGTGCTAATATCTGGAATTGTGAAGAACAAAAGTGCACCTGGTGCACACCCTCCCACCCCACAGGCTGGGTAACACTCTGCTTCACTCCAGAGCAGGGAAAACCTTATGATGCTGATGGTGGTTTTGTGACTCAATCCATAATTAAAGCAACCTAGATAATTATGGAGGTGCAGTTCCCCAATTGCTGCTGCTGTTAGATTTAACAGCCAGGACTAATGTATTTGTGTTTCCAGGTTTCTAAAAAGGACACTCCTGTACTGAGAAGGAAGGTGATCAACCTGTTCTACTGTATCATCATGTATTTGAACCTCCTGAAAGGCTGCCAATCATCAACAGGCCAAAAAATTTGGGAGCCATTTCCACATCCATGGGGATTTGCAAAATAAAACAAACCACAGAAATTACTTTGGGGCACAAAACAAGAAATCAGTTAAATTTTCACCACAAGTAAAGCTATAACCACCATTTAATTAACAACACATTATGAAACCTGATGGCTATGGATCAAATAAATCCAGGTTGCCTTGGCCATCTGACCCACCAAGGGAACAATCCTTGACTGGGAAGAGCAGGTGAGGCAGCAAATACAGCTCTATCTGTTTCTTTTCAGGTACAGCACAATACAAACTCCTCCCCCCATACTTAACACTTTGGAAAAGCACCTGATGGCATTTAAAACAAAAAAGATCCCCCATATTTTGGATGCTAATGAGCTCACCACGCTCATAAGGCTCCTTCTCATAGAGCTAATTCTTTTTACATCGTTTTCCAGGGCAGACAGATGCACTCACACTATACAGTGCCACATTTCTCTTCCCAAATTATCCTGCCTGCTTTCATTCCCCGGTGCTGTTCCAAGTCCACACAACCTCATTTCCTCCCCCAGAAGCAGCCAGGGCAGACCCAAATCTGCTCCAGCAGGAAGTAGTTCAGAGGCACTGCCTGGACACAGCAGCAGGGAGGGGAACACAGGGAACAGCCCTGGACAAGCACATCTCAACTCTCGAAAATCCACCCTCTCTTCAAGAAAAAAACTTCTAACTATTGGGGTGGAAGAGGAATTTTTTTCTCCTTTTAGTTTTCTTCTATTTTTTTTTACTCTTTTCTTATGAATCTGAGTCAATTTTTAAATTTCCCTTTTTATGACCAATACAGCAGAACAGGAAGGATTTAAAGCTGCCAGTTTCTCAAGAGTTCACTAGTTTCAGTGCCTTATACTTTACAATTAGCATATTATTTTCCACTCCAAGACTGTCTTTTTTGTTGTTGTTTAATTTGCCAGGGTCACACTGGGCCAGGAAGACACAGACTAGCCCCTAGCCTTTCTTACAATCTTGGTCCTGAAGTTTAATCACTGATCTTTTCCAAGAACACTTGAAGCCTTTTCTGCCTTCCTGCACTCAGGATTCTTTACTGCCCGAGGCTTTAAACGCTCCGATGCACAGGAGAACTGCTCACTGTGACTTCGGCGTGGCATTGGATAGAGTGGCAGCAACAAAGCTGATACTCAGCTGGCTATGAAACACACTGGATGAGTCGTGCCAACGTCTGTGCCCTCACCAGCTTGTTCCTGAGGTCCATGTCACAGAGGGCCTCGGCCAGGATGGAGCAAGCCTCCTTCACGCCCCAGTGCGCCGCCGCGTGCAGCGGAGTCCAGCCGTCGTTGTCCTGCACGTTCAGATTAAACCCAGCCTGGATCAAGAGCCTGAGGAAAGAAGCAATACTGATCTCTGCCCAGCCAGAGAGACCTCTCCACGCAGTGTTCACACGTGAGCGGGCGGCACTGTCCACAACGAGCCAGCAGGTCCTTACCTTGGCTGTTCACCTAAGCAGCATCCCAACCAGCGGGCTTGCAACTCTAACAGGGAAGGGCAGTGAATGAAAGTGACCTCACTGCAAAACCTGCTGGAATGAGTCAAACTGATACAGCTCCCCTTCAGCATGGCCTAAACTGGAAGAACACCTCACTTCCAGTCTGGGATCAGTGAGCCAGTCTGAACTCCTGCTCCAATGCACAGGAGACACCACACACCAAACACAGCATCCCTGGAGACTGCCAGCTCTGTAACTAGGAGCCAAGAACAGCACTGCCATGGGAAGGATATTTGGTAGCTGGAGCTCAGCCTGGGTTCTGCCAGAGGACAAGGCCACTTCACAGGAACAATCCATAGGGAGACAATGCCAGCAGGACAGCCAGGTAAGAAGCAGCAGCATTACTGTGATTTACAGATGTGAAATTTGTCAAGTTAAATAACCCACATTTGAGTTAACAACCAAAAATGCATTTTTGCAGACTAGTCCTTGCATAGTTAAAGCCAATCTGACCCAGGAGAACCTGCCTGGGAACAGCCTGGCATCAGATTCACTGCTGAGCACCTTCCAGGCACTCCCTTCTCAAGCAGACCAGAGCACTAGTGTTACAGAGCATCTGGAGCTCGAGCACTGAAGGACAAAACAAGCAGGAGGGAGCCAGTTGTAGTCTGAAGCTGCAGAGGCATATGCTCACTGGTATGCCAGTGATCAGATGAAAGTACTGAGTAGCTCACCTATCAGAACTGACTATTATCCTAGTTGCTTAAATATTGAAGGACATCCCAGGGGAAGTCTGAGAGTCTGGTAAAATCACTACTGAGAATTTCTGTTGTGTGAAACTCCACCATCCAGAGGCACTTCCCTGCAGCACAAGAGGGATCCAGCACGACCCCAGGATGGCACCAACAGTTTTGAAACTCCTGCAGCTTTACACTGACGTGTCACTGTGCTAAATAAAACAGTCCCACTACAGCAGCAGAGTGTTTCTCTGTGAAAGAAATTTTAAACTAGGTGCTGACTTTACGTTGATTTTCTAGTTGGCAACAGGGGGAAACATTGCTGCTAAGAGACTCAAGGACACAGATTCCTCATCTCATTTGAGAGCTAGTTAGCTCCTGGCTTTCAGCCCCTTTGGTTTAAGTGACTGAAGGTTTGTATTAGAGAGTGGCCATAAAATACACACGAGTGAACCAATGCCAGCTCTCTGCGAGGTCTGGTTATCATTATAACAATTAATGCCAACAAGTTACTGTCCAGACCTAAGTCACCCTGCAAACAGTAAATGAAGCCTTCCCTGAGGACTACTGGACATCCAAAGCTCCACTGAAGGCCCCCAACACCTCAAATTCAGTAGACACTACATTTCTATTCCACACAAGCTGTGTTAGATTATCGTTCTTGGCACAGTACAGGCATGGAAAGCTTATAACTCAATTATAAGCTCTAATGACTGAAGACAAATAGGCAACATGGAGAACAACAAAATTACTACAGCTTGATAAGAAACAGCTCTTATACATCAAATCATGCCACTTAAAACTACACAATTAAGGATCCAAAGGGATGAACGCTTCCAGAAGGGATTTTAATGTGGGCAACAGAGTAACCCTGCTGATATTTATGGGCAGCTCCACCCATACATAAAGGGCAGAGAAGAAAGGGTGGTGTTGGAAACCTTAATTTGACATTACCTGTGAAAGTATTAATTCTTTACTGCCAGGGAACTCTACACTGGGCAAGTTACAGTTCATAACAAGCTTGTTAGTTCCAGAGTGGCAGAAGCAGAACTGCCTTGTGTTGGAGTCCCTCTGACACTGCTGACAGCTGCAGAAGCAGGAGCACTAAGGGGCAGTGAGATAGGACTGGACACTGCATTCTCCACTCAACTGGTCATGGAAACTGTTGGGAGGTTTGTGACTATCATACAGCATGTACTGTCACTTTGTAGGCTGAAATTGTGCTTTTATCCCCTAGTACTATTTTATTTGCTAGTCTTAAATCTATTTCTCCAACAGTGAAAATTAAACCTTCTAATTTATGTCTCAGTCTCTGAAAAGCTTTCCTCACTTTAAAGGTCTGTAAGTATGAAAGGGAATCTCCCAGTCCCTATACATTTTATGTATGAAAGGGAATCTCCCAGTCCCTACATATTTCTAGGTGAACCACTATGGCTGAGCACACAAATCCATGAAGCTCTGAGAAACAGCAGCCTGAAAAAATTTGAGTATGAAACAAATTTCTCTCAGCTATAAAGCTAGACATGTTCCTTACAAAAACTAGTCATAATGCAGTTCCCCAGCCCTGGGAAGGAGCTCCCACCTCATGACTTCAGCATAGCCCTTTGCTGCAGCAACGTGGAGAGCCGTGGCGCCTGTGCGAGGCTGCCTGACGTCCTCAATCCTCCCACTGTTCAGCCACTGCCGGGCATCCTGTAGCATTTGCTGCTCCTCTTCTTTTCTTGCCTGGTCTAGGTCTGCACCTAAGAAGGTGAAGCATAGAAGAAGAGATTATCAAGTGAAAGCTCTCACGAGCATGTTAAACTTCCCCTATGTTTTGTTAATTACACAATATTAGCAACCTCTTACAGAAAGATCAGCAAAAGCATTTTCTAGGAGTTGGGAGAACTGCTGCATCACTGACAAAGACTCCAAAGCTGTCTGAAATAACCTGAAAGCTGAGCCCCTGGTAGCAGTGAGCCCAACTAACTAGTAGCAGAGCTGTGAAACAACTATGGGTGGAAGGACTGAGCTTGAAATATGCAGGGATTGAAGTAACCATGAACAACAGCCTAAAAAACTGAATTAAACAACAGTGTGAGTATAATTTACAGGGAAGATCTGAAGAGATGATCTTAAGACATCCCCTGTAAAAGCAACACAACCCCAGCTGTCAAGTCACTTAAAATTCAGTATGATTTGCAAGCTGCACGTGTGGAAATCTCTCCTGCTCCACAGCCACTCGTGCCAGGCACATCGAAAGAAGCATTCAGTTAATTCCACTGAGCACCAAACCACTGACTTCAGACAAAACACAATTCTACAGCACTTTGTGGATAGAAAGAAAAAAAAAAAGAATCTGATGGCTGAAGAGAAGAACTTTAGATGAATTCAGATCAGCTATAACAGAGAGATGGACTTTCTGATAACCAGAGGGACAATTATCACTAAACCAAAAAGAAGCAAAACTATCTTAGACCTGCTTTCTTCAGTGGAGTTCTCATGATAATGAGGTCATGTAAGGATAGTAGAGAAATCAGAAGTACAATACAGCTCCACACAAGATTAACCAGACTGGAGCTTCCTGACTCAGGAAAGAATACGAAAGAGAAGGTGACAAATCTCAAGAATAAAGAAGGGTGTTGAAGAGCAACTGTCCCTATGGATTAGTTCTTTCAGTGTAAGAACAACATGACTCCCAATTAAATTATGGGGCATTAGGTTTAAAACAGTACAAAAGAAAACACTTGTCAACTCAGAGTCTCAGCTGTGAAACCCACTACTGCAGGATACTGCAAAGGTTAGAAACACAACTGGCATCGGAACAAGGATTAGACAAATTCATAGTTAATAAGCACAATGCTGTACATGCCAGGAGTTCCCAAGGACTGCACAAGTCCATGAAACAGAAACCCACGGGGGATCCCTGAGTACACAGAGAGTCCATCTGGCTCAGGGATTCCTTGAGGCATGGTGCTGGAGGCTGGGAAACGTCTGGGAGGGGAACCACACACGCCCATCCTGATGTTACAGTCTGCAGAGGGCACCTGCTTTTAGCTACACTTGAAAAGCAGCTACGGAGCTGGATGGACTCTTATTTAAAGTCAGTAACAGATTTAATCCAGCAGTTACCATCCTTTTAAACTGTATCAGGGGGGAGCTGCTCGGTGGGGACAGATGGTTGTTTCAGGGCATCTTAGCAGGATGCCACTAATGCGGTGGAGCAATGGAAAAGCCAAGCAGGAGCCCAGGAACTGGCAGGCAAAAGATCTGCAGCTGAGGCAGGAATAGGTGAAAAACTGCATCTAGAGTCACTGTGTGTTTTACTGGGCTGCCCAGACCACGCCTGGCTCCCCTCTGTGGTCAGGCTCCCTGGGATGCCCAGACAGACAGAGCTGCTCCCTTCACCTCAGTGTAACAGGTCTCTGCAGAGTGGGCACCAAGGGTACAGGGTAACAGCCTGGCTGAAACCTTACAGGGCATGGCCTGACAGCCCCTAAAACAAACACTGACTGCAGGTACAACTCTTCTCAAATACCTGAGCAGACTAAATATAAGGCAGAAGGGCTATTTAAGCTTATTTCAAAGTGGAGGGGAAAGGGGAACAGAATAAGAATAACCTTGGCACAAATGCTTGACTAGAAAGTGAAAAGTTTCTATTGACTGAAGGAACATGATCTTGCATCCATTTTCCAAGACAAACAGTAACACAAATAAAAAGCAGCTCTCAGATGGACAGCTACAAACTCACCAGTGGAGCAGAAACACAAAGTAGCAAGGGGCTGATCTCTTCCTAACTATACCTGAAAATAGCTTCAGGAATAAAGTAACCATCATGTGCTAAGCAGAACACATCTGTTACAGAGGACTGGATCAAATCCAGCACGTAAACAACCCCAATACCAACCTTCAGTCATAAAATAATCTGGACTGGAAAGAATCTTTGGGGGTCTTTAGCCCAAATCCCTGCTCAAAGGAGGGTAACTTCAAACCCAGATCAAGTTGCTCAGAGCTGAATGCAGCTGAGTTTTGACAATCTCCAATGATGGAGATTCCACAAGTTCCTAGGGTCCCTGTTCCAGCACTTTCCTGGGAAACATTTTCCCCTTATACATAGATATGTTTATTATGTACATATATCTGTAGTCAGAATGCCCTTTGCTCCAGTCTATGGCTTTCCTCTCATCCTGTCACTGCACAGCTCTGCAAAGAGCCTGGCTCTGTTGCCTCCAGTGCCTCCCTCAAGGTAGTGAGTGAGAGTAACTAGATGCCCCTGTCAGCTTTCTGTTCTCCAGGCTAAACACACAGTCCCTCCATGTCCAGTGGGGATGGTCTGCTCTGTATCAGCCCAATCTGCCCTCGTTTATCACTTCCCACACGGCTGAGACAAATGCACCCTTCAAAAACATTCTTCGTGAGCTTCATTTGTAAGGTTTAAAGATCATAGAGGTATATTGGAGAAAAAAGAAAAAGAAGACACAATGTGGGGCCCGTCTGGGGGGATACGGGTGACCTGGTTACTGAGGCTGAGGCTGAAGTACTCCATGACTCTTTTGCTTTGGTTTCACTGGTAACCACTTGAGCCACACCACCCAAGTCACAGAGGGCTCTGGCTGGGTCTGGGAGAGTGAGGAACCACCCAGGGTAGGGGCAGATCAGGTCTGGGAATGCCTGGAGAACCTGAAGGTGCACAAGTCCACAGGACTGATGAGATAAATCCACTGGTCCTGAAGGAACTGGTGGCTGAAGTTGTTAGGCCACTGGCCATCACACTTGAGAAGCTGTGGCAGACTGATGAAGTTCCCACAGACTGGAAAAGGGGAAACAACCCCTGCTTTTAAAAAGCCCAAGAAACTCCAGACGAGTCAGCCTCACCTCTGTGCCAGGGAAGATCATGGAGCAGATCCTCCTGGCACCTGTCCTGAGGCACACAAAAGATAAAGAGGTGACTGGTGACAGCCAACAGGGCTTCACTAAGGGCAAATCGTGCCTGACTCATGTGGTGGCCTACAACAGAGTTACAGCTCTGGTGGATGTGGGAAGAGCAACTGACATCTACCTTGCAGGACTTGTGCAAGGCATTTGACAGTCCTGCCTGGCACCCTTGTCTCCAACCCTGACAGCTCCTTGATTCTGTAATAGACATGGACTTGATGATCAATGACTCAGGAGACCAGTGACCAGTGGAGCTCCTCAGGGCTCTGTGCTGGGTCCAGTGCTGTTTGGC